TGCAAAATAAGAGACAAATCTGAAAGCAATCATGAATAATGACTTAAATTGTACTACTCACAACTGAATTACAGTGGTTGCCACTGAAAAGTCAACATTTGCCAGCAATAACTAAAGAATATCTGAGTTACCTAGTATTTCCCTATAGTTAGAATACAAAATAAGCACAGTATGGCCCTAATTCTGCAAAGAGTTATGCATGTATTTGATTTTATACATGAGTGTCTCACTGAAGAGAATGGAATTATTCAGAGGTATAATGCTAAGCACATGTGTAAGTCTTTGCAATATGAAATCTCTAGTTACAGAATTTGACATTTTTTTTGCCTCAGACCGTACTAAATCAAATATGACTTCACACATATAGACAAATACATGCTCTGATTTTTATTGTTTTTTATCCAATTTTTCGAAAACTCAGCACACATGCAGGCTGAGATGACTGAATATTTGGATTTGTTTTTATTTTCTTCAAACAAATTTGACTAGCACTGGAAATTACTCATTAGAATGTGAGAAATACAGATGAATGGCAGCCATCTTATCTTGGACAGAACTAACCAGGCAGGTGAACTGTGCTTTAGGGGCTTGTGATTTTCTCATGTTTCTTACATTTAACATTGGATACACATTGCGATTCCCACAAAGAGAAGATGTTTACTCTGATGTGACAGCAAAAAAATATTCTGCTGAAAAGCCAGAATGCTTGTATTTCTATGAAACTGGCAAAAAGAAAGAAAAAAATTCAGCAGCTTTGCTTGGCATGGAAATCTTCAGCTTTACTGCCAAGAGATTCCACTACTGAATTGTGCCCTCTGTTACACACATGTCATCCAGTGGGAATTTGGCCCAGTGTTAGGAAGCTTCCAATTCAAATTCAACAGGTTGTGTTTCTTTCCAAAACATTTGGAAAGTTCCATGATCATCTAAATATTATTTACCCTTTCATAATCTTATTTCCCAGAAAACAACATACTACCTATTTAATGAAAGCATCATGGATATTTTTTCAACCTGCTGAAACAAACCATGCATGCTATCAGAAAAACAAACAAACATGCAAATTTCATTCATTTCCAAACTCTGCAAAATCAGCTTTGTGATTATAAAGATTTATGTTCCGTTCTCCTCCAAAATTCTCCGGATGTGTCCATTTGTCTTAGACAGAATTGACGTGCTGTTCTCTGCATCCATTATGTTTAATAATAGAGAGTTGACTTAGGCTAATGATTTAGGAGCAGGATGTGATTAATAATGCGAATAGAAGCTTTAAACCCAACTTATAGGAAAATAAACCAGTGTATAATTTTCATGTTTCATTAGAGAACATCTTTAGATGTAAGCCTTAATACTAATTGATCCCAGAGAGGTGGGAAAATGCATTGTTCCAGTCTGACTAATGTGACTAAACTGCTTTTCATGTTTCTGGAAGAGACCATTAGTATAACCTGATCATTCAGTATTTGTGAAAGAAATAAGGTGTTCATGATGAATTAGTCACTTAAGTGCTATCCAAATATGTGCAATTTATTTGAGATTTGCAAGATATCCCAAGGGACACAAGTAGAATAAACATGAAAACTATTTTAAACAGATACTATGTTTTGGACAAAGACCTTTTCTACAGTAGAAAGCTATCCATTCTTGAAAACCAGTGCAGGTGAACGAATACTGAAAAGGGTTTAATTCCAAGTTTAGTAAAGGGCAAACCATAGTGAGCACTGTATCAAAAACTGGCTAATTTTTATAGACTCACAGCACTGGAACAGACCTCAGGAGGTCTTCTAGTCCAGTCCCCTGCACGCAAGGAAGGACTAAGTATTATCTAGACCATTCCTGACAGGTGTTTGTCCAACCTGCTCTTAAAAATCTCCAATGACAGGGATTCCACAACCTCCCTAGGCAATTTATTGCAGTGCTTAACCACCCTGACAGTTAGGAAGTTTTTCCCAATATCCAAACTAAACTGCTCTTAGTGCAATTTAAGCCCATTGCTTCTTGTCCTATCCTCACAGGTAAATGAGAACAATTTCCCTCCCTCCTCCTTATAACAACCTTTTATGTACTTGAAAACTGTTATCATGTCCCCCCCCTCAGTCTTCTCTTCTCCAGACTAAACAAACCCAGTTTTTTCAATTTTCTGTCATAGGCCATGTTTTCTAGACCTTTAATAATTTTTGCTGCTCTTCTCAGGACATTCAATTTGTCCACATATTTCCTGAAATGTGGTGCCTAGAACACAATACTCCAGGGCTTGGTCTACACTAAACCCCCAAATCGAACTAAGGTACGCAACTTCAGCTACGTGAATAACGTAGCTGAAGTTCGAAGTACCTTAGTTCGAACTTACCTCGGTCCACACGCGGCAGGCAGGCTCCCCCGTCGACTGCGCGGTACTCCTCTCGTCTAGCTGGAGTACCGCAGTCGACGGCGAGCACTTCCTGGTTCGACTTATCGCGTCCAGACAAGACGCGATAAGTCGAACCCAGAACTTCGATTGCCAGCCGCCGAACTACCAGGTAAGTGTAGACATACCCCAGTTGAGGCCTAATCAGTGCGGAGTAGAATGGAACAATTACTTCTTGTGTCTTGCTTACAACACTCCTGCTAATGCAGCCAAGAACGTTTGCTTTTTTAGCAACAGTGTTACACTTTTACCTCATATTTAGCTTGTGATCCACTATGCCCCCAGATCTCTTTCTGCAGTACTCCATCCTAGGCAGCCATTTCCCATTTTGTATGTGTGCAACTGATTATTCCTTCCTAAGTGGAGTACTTTGCATTTGTCCTTATTGGATTTCATCCTATTTACTTTAGACCATTTATCCAGTTTGTTCAGATCATTTTGAATTTTAATCCTATCCTCCCAAGCACTTGCAACGCCTCTCAGCTACATATTGCCAGCAAACTTTATACGTGTACTCTCTATGCCATTATCTAAATCTTGAAGATACTGAACAGAACTGAACCCAGAACTGATCCCTGTGGGACCCCACTTGATATGCCCTTCCAGCTTGACTGTGAACTACTGATAACTACTCTTTGGGAATGGTTTTCCAATCAGTTATGCACCCATTTTATAGTAGCTCCACTTAGATTACATTTCTCTAGTTTGTTTATGAGATGGTCATGTGGGAAAGTATCAAAAGCCTTACTAAAGTCAAGATATACCACATCTACCACTTCCCCCCATCCACAAAGCTTGTTACCCTGTCAAATAAAGCTATTAGGTTGGTTTGACATGATTTATTCTTGACAAATCCATGTGACTGTTACTTATCACCTTCTTATCTTGTAGGTGTCTGTAAATTGATTACTTAATTATTTGCTCCATTAACTTTCTGGGCACTGAAGTTAAGCTGACTGGTCTGTAATTTCCTAGGTTGTCCTTATTCCCATTTTGTTCGTGAACAAATAAATGTCCTTATTCTCATTTTGTTAGTGAACAAAGCAATATTGGTGAGATTTCAGTGATAATGTGTTAGGCATTAAGTTATGGTAAAAAAAAAGGGTATTTTAATATAAACAAAGATCTTTTTTCCAATGAAGTTTTAACTTTATTATTATATTTCAATATTCACTCTCTTCTTGAATTATTCATACTTCTGTCAAACTTCCTCAGAAACTAACTTCCATATCTAAGAACAATGAGTCTTGATTGACTCATTTTAACTTGTTGTGCTTAATGTTCATGATACTTATTAAATGACCTTCTATCCTGTCTGTTTCTATGATCCATAAATAGAAAGTGGCTAATTAACTTCAGAATATTCCACTGTCCCCTTCACGAGAACATCTCTCTCACATCTAACATTTGCGTAACTATTACAGCAATGACTTTTTCTCCCTCTTTCACATAGTTCTCCTCCACATAATTATTTTTCATACCAACATGATCTCCTATATTCTGTGTATATTCTATATTTTGGTTGCTTTGTGCTGCTAGAGTAGTGCAAAGGGGACATAATACCAGTTCAACAGGCTACTTGAGAATTCCCACAGTGTAGGAGGAATACCATGGTTGTTCTCTCTGCTTTTTGGCCCAATCCTTTGGGTATTACCATGGGAGGTGGAAATCTGTCCCTCTTATTTTATTCCTAAGAGAACTTTTATTATTACATTCTTTATCAATGAGGATTAAACATTTAAATTGTGGTGTTGATTGAAAGCAACAGAGATCAAGAGGTTGCAATGTACCAAGCATCATTCTGTACTGTATATACTGTGTGAATGCCTATCACTCCAGGCCTTTATGCACATAGGAAAAAGTGAGGATAGGGAAGAATGAGAGGGAGAGATGTATATTTTCAGCCAGTACCCACAGTGATATATTCCCTTTCTTGAGAGAATGACCCATAACTCATGAGAGGTCAGCAGTGAGTTATGAAGGCCATTCCCTCAAAAAAGAAAACATATTAGACCTACACATTATTGTGTCCTCTATTCCTCCCCCACCCCCAACCATTTTTCACTGCTAAATTTTCTTTATAAATAATTTAAAGTCAATTTTAATGCTTATGAAAGGTACCAGACAGAGCTCACTGTCAACTGCTCTATTTGCAGAATAAATACAGCGTTGCTGTAGTAGGGCAGTCTTCCACACACAGTCTTACCATTGTTCTCAACTCCATTCTGCAGGGGGCAGTTATAAGGCTGGAATTCAGCCCTCAGCCTTTTTGCTAAGAATGCCAATAAGGACAACAATTAATGCTAAGTGTGACTGTTGCTCCTGTGATGTTGATATCTGCATATTAGCAAATGTACTTAGATGAACAACACATTTCAGAGGTCCCCCAAAGAGCAGTTACATGGTAATAACTTTTTGGTCAGTAGATAATACCTGAAGATGAACGGCTCTGTATACTACTACCAAGTCCCCTAACAAACGTTGATTTTCTGCACCAGGTTTTACACTTCTTTTCATTAATCAACCATTGTATTTGCACAGTGCCACTAACTTCCGTATATTCGGAAAGAGTCCAAAACCACAGATTACTCACTGTTCTGGCATCCCAGAGAGACAGGGTCTTGTCTGCTGAGCTGGTGAGAATGGTGTTGGAGAATGGAAGAAACTCTATACTATTGACCGAATCCTTATGTCCACGCATGGTGTATCTGCATCTCTCACTATAAAAGAAAACAATGACAGAAATATAACTTGCCATTAAAGAGAATCAGCAGTCTAGAAGACAATGGCAGTAAAACGGAATCAGATTTCAAATGGAGTTAATTGTCTCAGTTACTATTTTCAGAGAAGTTAATACATAGGGGAAGGTTTATAGCACAGGCTAAAACAACCATCATCAAAAGGTTCCTTATGCTTTCTATAGAGTTATTTGAACTTTTGAAAGGTTGAGAGGTACCCACTGCATTGGAGAGAAAAAGATCAAAAGACAGCAAAATAAGTTACCACCTTACTAATATTCCAAAGAGCATTTATACAAACTATGGCTCTACAATGAAGAAAGGTTAAACAAACTGGGCATGTTGAGTCTTGAGAAAAGAAGACTGAGGGGAAACTGATAATCGTCTTCATATATGTTAAGGGATGTTGTAAAAAGGACTATGATCAATTGGTCTCCATGTCCACTAAAGGAAGTACAACAAATAATGAACTTAATCTGCAGCAAGAGAGATTTAGGTTAGATATTAGGAAAAACTTTCTGGCTATCAGGGTAGTGAAGCTCTGGAACAGGCTTCCAAGGGGGGTTGTAGAATCCCCATCACTGGAGGTTTTTAAGAACAGGTTGGACAAACACCTGTCAGGGGTGGTGTAGGTTTACTTGGTCCTGCCTCAGCAAAGGGGACAGGACTCAATGTTTTCTTGAGGTCCTTTCCACCCCTACATTTCTATGATTCTGTGAAATAAGCGTCTCAGTTCAGAAGTGTTCAAAATACTGATTTTATTTTATTTTTATTATTTATTTTGCTTTACCAATGATTGACATTTGGATTGGTGATGGTCAGGAGAAGGGCATGGGAAGGGGTAAGCATAGATGAGTCCAAACCAGAAACATTTAACCAACTCTCCTCTGCTCTGGAATTTTGGGGTTTCCAGAATGCAACCCTGCTTCTGGAACAGTTTGGATGGGGAGGATAATGAGCTTATGAAAACCCCAAAGCACAATTCCTTTTTGCCCATATCAAGTTGTTGCATCCTTACTTGCTTGTCAAGCCAGTTTAAGGTTTCAAAAGGAATAGTTTACCACATAACCCCCCCCCCCCGAATTTTACAATTAGTAATAAGATCAGTTCTGTCCTGTATGTCCTAGTGCCTCAAATAAAGAGCGGCAGATAAACTAGCAAACAAACAGAAAGCAGCCACCCACCACTACCCACTGTAATTCGAAGTGTTAGTTCAGTATTTTATTCATTGCACATTTGGTTTGATACCTAAAAACAACCAGTTCTGAGCTGGCCACTGAATACATTGGGCTGGCAAATTAGATTACTGGAGGGTGGGGGGGGGGGGGCAACTGCAAAAGGCCAAATTTCTTACAGTATTCTCTTTAGGAGGCTGTCAGCAGAGGGAATTAAAGATTTTGTGGTTTTTTTCCATTCCTGCATGATGCCAGAAGACTCATAGAGCTGTTGCAGGGTTTTTTTGGTACTAAAAACATTGGAGATCAGATGCAGACCACTAGAGGTTAAAGAGGCTTGCCAGAGGCTCACATTGATCTGCCAGAGAAAAGCAAGTTCCCAGACTTACTGAAGACTCCTTTCCATTTTCCAGGCTCCCTATCTGAAGATTAATATTGTTTCTGAAGAGGGTGTAGAGGAGTGTGTGTGTAAATTTTACCCAGGAAATATATTTCAAATACACTGTATATTGTACATATTATTCTATTATAGATATTACATTATACTATATATTTTATAGTATTTATAGTATAGTATGTGTTATGTTGTAATAAGGATCCAAGTTAAAGAATCTGTTATTTATATCATACATGTAGCTTCCTGGCTTTTAGAGATTACTGCATAGTTTGTCTGATGTTCATGATTATTTGTTATACAGTGATAAAGTAACTTATTATGTTTTATATTCCCCATGGTCACACAGCTTTAACCATCAGGACAGATATACATGCATATGGGCATATGTACACCTCCATTTTCAAAGGTGACTAATGATTTTCGGGTACCCAAGCTGATATGCCTTAAGGGAAACTGATTTTCAGATGGTGGGTACTCAGCACTCTCTCTTAGAGCCATGTAAGAGAATGACTGGTGATGTTGAATGCCCACCTGGAACTTTTGAAAATTTAGGCCAGTTTATATCTTAATGTAACATTATGTTCCATTAGAAGAAGAAAGAAAAGAGAAAGAGAGAGAGAGAGTGAGTGCACAAGCACGTTTTGGGGGATATACTTCTGTACAGTAATGTAATAAGAGGATTTATATCACACTCTTCCCAAAAAGGTAGCTGAAAACTACATCTTATCTGTTTGTGGAATGGGACAGAGGGGTGGAGAGGGGGAGGAAGAGAATTGTTCATGAGTTCATAAGGCCTAAAATAGGGGCATCCCAGGCAGACTGGCTGCAAGAACAGACTTGTGAGAGATTAATTAGGTGCCAGAGCAGGAAGGTCCCATTCAGAATCCCTGAGCAAGGTGAAAATGGACTAAAGTGACGGACAATAACAGCAATGGAAGGGAAGGAAATGAGTTGTACATTTCCATCAAGCACTTAAACACTTAGGCTAGATACAGCTCTCTCTCTCTGCCACCTCCATACCAATGTGTAGTGATGAGAGAGCTCTCTCACGCTCCAGATTTAATTTACCACTCTGGTAACTGACTGACTGATATTTCTGAGCACCTCTGACTGCTATATAAAACAAACTCATCTTCCCTTCCAGCCGAGAGATAATTTAAATGAGAGTGCATTTCTTGCATACAATCTAGATGTTCTACTGTGGCAAAGGAAAACTTGGTTTGAAGCAATATACCAACTGACTCTAGCACATTTTATACACAATGGGCCAGATTCTACACTTTTGACATGGGAGGAAATCCAGAGAAACTCCATTGTTTTAAAACTAGTTGCTCCAGAGATAGCCTGATGAAACAAAGAACAGAATCCTTTCTTTGTAAAGCAAACACTCATTATAGATGGGGTTTAGGTGGTTCAGAAATTTTTGGGTAGCTCAGAAAATAGAGGAAACCACCTATTCCTGGTAGGTTAGGTATTTGTACCAACCTGACAATTTCCTCAAAGCCCCAGCCACTGGAGTCATATGAATACATGAGTATCTCAGCTTTCATTTTTTTAAAGTAAGTTTTTAGCCCTCACGTTAGCAGAAAACAGAATACAAATGTGACCCCGGTGTACCTTAAAAAAACAGAAGGCAAATAGAAATAACCCCAATTTTTTTAATTTAAAAAAAAATGTTGATGGGGGGGAGGGGCTGACTCATGATTATTGAATATTTGGCCTTGGCAATTGTGGTAGTGTTCAAATACCACTTGGTAAAAATTGCTAAGCAGGCAGCTGGATGCACTTTATTAGCACTTTGCCCACCTAAACTAAAGAGGACAAACCATCTCCAACACCTTGCTACTTTGTCAGCTATCACCTTACACACACACTGTTGTCAGTTTAAAAGTCTAGCGAGCCATAGACTGTGCGCCATGTCATTCCACCACACCTACTTGCAGCCACCATTCTGGATGTGCTGCTCAGAGCAGCAAGTTCCCATGGTCTCTTTTTGAAAATAGCAAAACCCTAGCTGTAGGATATTAGGTGTAAAGGGATCCGCTGATGGTTGTGTTCACGCTAAGTAATCAACACAGGCTGGCAATTGAAGGTGTGTCCATTTTAAAAATAGAATCAACTGCACCAGATTTTTAAATGAAAGAAATGATAAAAAAATGGAATAATTAATCTTAAAATGGGGCCTTGTATAGTAAGTTACAATGAAAAAAGATAATAAAGCACCAACACACATTAATTATGCAATAATACACATGCAACTTATCTTATTCCAATGCCATATTAGGCCTTGATTCAAAAAAGGCACTTAAGTAATTGCCTCAAAAAGCAGCATCTTTCCTAACAATTGTTTTCTCAAATCATAACATGGAAAATAACACTAAACTCCTTTTTCATATCTATCATATAACATCCGACCATCTGAACTGCCTTTGCTATCAACTAAAAACATGTGGGAAATTTGCACCACAACGTGATTAACAAATAATCTACACACAGTAGTTCTGTGAAAGTTTTGTAAGATCACACACCAATCTCAACCCTGTTAAACTGATAGAATTGGACCAGTTAAAAGGAGAATACCATCAACAGAAACACACCCTGTTAGTTACCCACTATGTGACTTTATCTCCAAAACGTGTTTAAATCAGGCACAGAACCTTTCTAGCCAAGATCAAAAAAGAAGTATAGCAAATGGGCTGGCTTGAGACATTAAAATGCCAGTTTGTTTTATGATGTTATAAATACATCCTATCACGTCTTTATATTTTATTACCTCTATTTTATTTCTAGGTAGCTTCACATATGACACATCCAATTATTCATGTCAAGAATATAAAACGACTAGTATTTCAGTAAAAAGTGCCTACCATCACTTATGACAATGATTTTTTTCTTGACCCATTATTTCACTAAACATAACCAGGGTTTCATAAGACATTGATGAGTGGGGACATATCCTCTATAAAGCATATTTGTCTTAGAAAAGATACAGATGTGTATAATATTGCCAATATGACCCATTCAGCTCAATACAAGCTATTCTTTCATTACCTCCCTTCAATAAAATGAAGTTATCTTCTAATTCTGAATACTCCGTTTACAGTCACTGTGTAATTAATGTTTGTACAGTGCTTTGAAAAAGAAAAGTGCTGGAGTACATAGGTGCTTATTATTATTTTTGTAAACATACAGCAATTCTCTTCCCTAATGTAAATGTACATACACTTAGAAATAAAATGAAGATCAGATAATTGGTTGTATAAATAATTGATATTAATAATACTCAGAATTTAGAGTACTTTCATCTTCAAAATCCTGGACAAACATCAGTGGTGCTATATTGTGCAAATGGATCTGTGTGGGCAGCCCCCTGACTTCAGTGCTGGTTTGGGGGGTCTACCTGCACGGAT